ACTTGTTTATTTATTTGCTTTTAGTTTTTGGATCCTGAAACGTTCTCTCATCCTGTTTGTGCTGCTGTGGATGTACAGCAACATGACAATGAACTGGATCTGATTTGATTTGATACAGTTTCACTCATAGAAAAAACTAATGACACATAAATTAAACTGTGATCAGAGGTGTCCAACACAACAGTTCATCCAAAAACATTCCTGAATGTCTCTGTAGAATCAAAGGTTTCAACAGATATTCTACAGATTTCCTCCATTCTGGATTGATGATGACAATGATCACATAGAAACCAGAGAAGGTTGTTAAACTGTTCCTGCTGGTTTAGAGGAATTATTATTATAATAATATTAATAAATATAAATCATTCATTATTATTATTATTATTATTATTATAGCTATTGTGAATAAGACGGTTTTAGTCGGAATAACTGTGGTGGGCGTCATTACATCCACTGCTCTTCGATTTCTTCCTTCTCTGTCTACAAGCTGCTGCGTAGATGAACACCTGTGAATAAAGTGCAGCAGGTAGCAGGACAGGTGAGTCACCTGAGTTGCGGTGAGGGTTGGGCAGAGTGTGGCCGCTCAGCTCTCCAGCGTGATGCGACGGATGCAGGAACTGCTGCTGGGAGGCCAACAGGTGAGACGGATGATACAGACTGTCCAGAGAGTGCAGGAAGTTCACCTGCAGGCAACAAACCACAGAAGAAGAACAACGGGTTGATGCTGACTGTATGATGAAGTAAAACAGGTGAGCTGTGGCCCGATCTCTACAGGTGATGAAGCTCCGTCTCACCTCCAGGGTCAGCTCGTTGCTGGTGTATCTGCCATTCATCTCAGAGCAGGACAGACGGAACCGCCGCTCGAAGCGGGCCGAGCCTTTGGCCAGACGGTACCGGACTGAACGAAGGACGTCCTCGTACACGGAGATGGATTCAGCTCCTGGGAGAAAAAGAGAAAAAGCAGAACCGATTCAGTAACTGCAGAGTCCAACAGTCTGAGGGCAGATCAGACACTTTTGCTGCTGTGTTCACACCAGACGCGAATCCATTGCGCCATTCGCGCATATTTGGACCGTGCCTGACTTTAATCGCTTCATTCGCGCCTCAAGATTTGTGTCTGAATTCAAGTCATTCGTGCGACTGACGCGATCCAGACGCCGGATCCATGGGACCCCCCAGAGACGCACACAGCTCGGGGAGTCAGTGTACAATCAGTGTAGCTGCAAAAAATGAATGAATCATGTTGTTGACGTCACCAGAGCATCTCAACGCTGATTGGCCTTCGCGGCGCGTCAGATCACAAAAGTTCAGATTTTTCAACTTGTTCTTTAAAGGCGCGTCTAGAATCACGTCATACGCGCGAATAACTCGCTCAATTCGCCTCAATCGCGCCACGCTAATCGCAGGAGTCTTTACATTGACTTTATATGTAAATCATTCGCGTGAATGATTTTACTGTCTGGTGTGAACACAGCGTGAGACTGTTGTGCTGAGTTGACTCAGTTCACTGCGATCTCACTATTCACTAACATCTGAATCCTCCATCCATCCATCATCCATCCACCTTGATCCTGGGGGGTGGAGCCTATCCCAGCTGACTCAGGGTGAAGGCAGGTTCACCTGGACAGGTAACCAGTCTATCACAGGGCTACACTTAGAGACAGACAA